CCATGGGAGCTAAACTTTCTGGAGTCATGGTAATGAATGTGTTTTCATCAGGTGACCATGAGTCATCATTTTATCAGCAGTTTAGAGGGTTTTCACAATAGCTGAGTGTCATCGGGGCTCACGCTCAGCACTGGCTGCAGCACAAGAACGAAATATGATTTTCTGCCATGTCTTGTGGTGCCATTTATTGAAGGAAAAGTTTGGCCACTGACTCAAGAGAAATATTGCAAAGTCATGGTTGAATAAGTGCTGCGGGGAGCACAAAGTGTCCCGAAAATGGAACACAAAATGTCCAGAAACGAATCTTTTATTTGAGAATTGAAACTAAGTGATAATTTTGCTTTTAAAAATAGATGCCTTTTAAGGAAGTTGTGAACTACGTGGATGAAACATCAGGAAAGAATAAAAATGTGTTGTCTGTCATTCTTCTCCCTTTCATAATCCTGTCAGAACACAGTCAGACATCAAATACTCAGATAACTTCCACATATGAGAATCCACCTACACTGCCCAAAGTGGAGAGAGGCCACATAAAAACAACTCCAAAAAAAATTTATACTAAATTCTCATGATCATAACGTCGAAAGCAAAAACTGCATCATTAAACTGCTTGTCCCAGGTATTACACAAAATGTGGATCCCTTTACCTCCCAGCCTACTAACCTCCCTCTGAACCCACTGGAAAGAATTGAAGAATTTCACCTACAGCATCAGCTGAAGCCTCTCCCAGGACCTAAAGACACTTGGTGACCCCACACAGCATCTTTGCTAAGCCCTGATGTTTTGCTGGACTCAGAGATTCAAGTCTCCTTCTAAGTTTCCCATCCCTTCCTGCTGCAGGGCTGGACTCTGGGGTCAAGCAGGCTGTACCACCGAGATCTCCACGCAGCACAACAGCAGAGGTGGAAACTCTGCTAAGTGCTGGTCAGAAATGAGGCACGTGGCAAATATCATGGAAATAACTACATTTAAACAATTGTATTACTTAGTATGGTGTGTATTTAGAATCCCATATCACTGCCACACTGGTGTAGTGCTCAGAATTAGCAAAAACCTAATTTTCAGGCACAAGTGGTCCTTTCAAAACTAATCAGATTTGAATTAGCAAAAAAAGTAATGCAAGTTGAACCATCCTTTTATTCCTTATTTGAAGTGATCCCCATGAAAGCAGTGTTTTCACTATGGATGTTTATCCCTCTGGCTTCCTACTCCTTTCTCCTTCAGCTAACACTTTAATCTCTCAACTCTTCATCCACTCATCATTTCCCTAGGCTTGAAAATTAATCCTCTGAGGTCAGTGAGGAAACTCCCACTGACTCCAGGAGATTTAGAATTAGACTGTACACTTAACTTTCCTCCCCCCTCTACCTCCCAACTTCCTCTTTTGTTTCTTCTGGAACTTATTTACTCATCACTTGAGCCATTCCATATCTGGTCCCATGAAATTGGGAATTAAGTGGAGCATTAAGAAAGAGAACTAAATAGATGTCCCACATTACTATTGTGTGCACTTCCTATTTTCAATCGTATCCCCCCCACACCTCTTTTTCATCATCTCCCTTAAGACTTTTAAGTCCTTTTAGACAAGTATTATTCTTTATGCACTCACACAGAAACAAACCTGACAGCTGAGTGAAGTGTGTGATGCTCCTTGATAGTAACAATTCCAACCACCTGCATTTCCAGCTGTTCTGAGCAGTGCTGCTTTAGGAAAACTCCTTCTCCAGAAAAATCACTATTTAATAGTTAATATAGCTATTTATTCGTTTTTAAAGACACACAGTACATGTAAAATTCAGCAACCTTTAATCAGTTTGGAGAACCTGTACCTTAGTTTTAATATTTAAAATATTGCTACAAATTCTATCTAATCACAGAAACCTAATCTTAGCCTGTTTCCTTTGAAATCCTTGTCAGTACTCCAACCACAGGAATTTCACATACAAATGTCTTGGTTTAGAACGGGGACAAGAAATGAACATCAGAAAACATTGTATTTATTAGTTAATTTAAGTAAGCAATCTCAAAAAAACTCCAAGCCCTAGCTCTCAAACCAGCAATCAGAAAGCCAGCAAGTTCACAGCTCTGTGTGTAAAACAAGCAGCTGTACTACCAGTCTAGTAACAGAGCAGTCACAACATACACCAAAAATTATCTCAAATACAAACAGCATTCCTTATTCTGCACTTGAGAGCACTGCAGTCATCTACCTATGGGCTCAATATAAGCAGTAAACATATCTATTGTCCCTCATCACTCATTATATGGGATCAGAGATAAATTAAAAAATCAGGTAAGAAAACCTACTCACCTCCCTCATTTCTTACTCTCCAAACGACTCCCAAGAAGAAGCAAACACATCACTTTCTGACAAAAATATTTGTTGTGGTTTAACCACAAATGTTTACAGAAATATTGATCAACTGAACCAATGGACACACTTCACAGAAACGAGAACTTTAACCTGTCAAGCCCACTTAGACACCACCTAAGAATCATCCAGACAGGCAGAGCTGATCATGCTGTCACAGTATTACATTTCAGCCAGTAGCTAAAAAAAGAAAGCATTTGAAATATCAAAATAAACTGCTCATTTTCTTACTCCAGACCCAAGACCATCTACAGGTCTGTGAGAAGGCCCTAAAATGACTTGGACAGCACTAAGTCCATCCTGGAGTGTTGTCTGACAGGACATTTCTTTCTTCCTAATGTCAGGGCCTATAATCAACATTCTTGCTATACACACTTTCTTTTATGGAGCACTTCTAACATACCCAAAGAGAGATATTAAGATGCCTCTGGTTATAAGTCAGTATCTTAACAATTACATAAAGATACATCAACATAAAATAAAGAACATCACCCACACACACAAAAGCAGAATGAAGGGGAAAACCGATGCCATTACAGTCCCACTGTCATTCTGCTGACCAATCATTTCCATCTTTTGTTCCCACTATAAAACAGAAAACTCTGCTCGTGTTTCAAATCAACTTGCCATTTAAAGCAACCAAAAAGTTTGAAGGATCGGAAAAGTTACATATGTATGTCCAGCATGCAATAATTAGATTGATAAGAAGGAGCAACACTGCTGAAAAATCAACTGCAGAGTGAGCTGGATGACCAGAGGGAACACTGAAACTATAATTACCTTAATCTATGTGCTTGCAAGAGCCTACAAATCTGAGAAAGAACAGAGCTCTACATTTCTCAAAGCAGGAAACAGTAGAATAAAAAAAGCTTCCCTTTGAGTTGAGTTATTAAAATGTAGTAACAACTTAAAGTCTTCTGTGTTTGGCATACGAACAAATTGCAGAAAACAGTAAATGAAATTTTTCTATTGCAGCCATAAAAATTACTATATTTAGTTCTGCAGCTTGGCATGAATAAAGTCCATTTACACAATTCTGGAAGAGCAACTCTTTCTACTTTGTCCAAAGGTTTAAACAGGGCCCTAGTGATATTATTTTTGAAATCCATATAGAGTTCAAGATTTTGCTTTAAGCCTAACCAATTAAAGTTAAGATTTCTTTCCCAGAACAGCAGTAAAATATTTTAGCAACACACAGAGAAAGCTTAATTAAATTCATATGTTGGGGGTATTTTACCATGCAATGCTTTACGAAGTATCAATATTTCCTAAAACTGACAATTGCTGATCAAATTAATTTGCATAAAATATTACCTATTGCAAATCCCAACACTGCAGCATCCAGACACTTGGCAGGTGAAGACACCGTACTTAGGACTTAACTATGGTTTTTGTACTAAGGTTTAAAGCTATTTTAGTGCATCAATTAGTTCATTTCAATCCCTCTTAATTGCCCATTAAGCCAAGCTTGGGATCGCCTCTCAAAAACGGGCCAACGGCTCCCTCTACTGGAAATAATGGACCATCACATCGCGGTACGGACATTCCCAGATAAAATTGGTAAGAAGGGACCTTAAAGATCGTCTCGCTCCAACCCCTGTGCCACGGAAAAGGGCACTTCAAATAGACCAGGTTGCTCAGAGCCCCATCAAAATCAAAGATATTTCTCCTAACTCCTGTATCAGCTCGGCAGCAGTAAATTAGACATGATACTGTCAATTAAAGGTTTAGCATCCTGTTAAGCAGTAAAAAAATTAAAGCAAACATCATCCCACTAAATGCCAGCAGTTTTCCTTGGAAAAGAACACACAGCACACAAAAATTAAGCGCTTGGTCTGAGTGCTGAACAGGTTGGTTACCCACAAAACCAGGCTTCAACAGCTTCCACTGCCTGAGCGCGCAGGAAGGATTTTGTAGCTGCCCTCCAAAAAACCCAAGCTTATCCACAAGGGAAAAAGCCTCTTCTGTTCAGAAAATTCCTCGACAAAACATTTCCAGGAGAATAATATATTGTGCTAATCCCATTTAGTGTTATTTATTGATAAACTGATATAGTTACAGGAGAGGAATTATGAAGTGCTATGTTTATAACAGAATGTTTTGAAAAGCATTAGGCTTCAGATACGTAATCAAGAGTCTGGGACTGTTTGCAAAATAAACTTCAGTGGCATTTTACTGGATGTGAAACAACTAATCCCTGAAAATGGGAAACGAGGCAAAAAAAAAGAAGCAAATAAAGTGTCAAGTGTGATAAACAGTTTCAGAACGTGGCCGCACCTTAAAACCAGGAACTTAAATTACCTGGGAAGGACACAAATAACAACACGACAGTGAGAAAAGAATTTTATTTCAGGTAGCAAGCACTGTTTTACTGAGAATTCATGCAGTTTCTAATTTTAACTACACAACTAATCACTTTCAGCTACATGATTTTAATCTTCAGCTGACCTCAGACACACTCTGCCGTGACACAGAAATTATTCAAACTTCGCTTCCAGAGAGAAAAGGTGATAAAGAGTATGTTACTATGACCAGAAGCCTGAAGGATTCATCATTAACTTTAAAAATCAGCATATACATTCTAAGGAATATTACGGATTTTTTTTTAAAGCTATTACATTCTACTTACCTTAATGACAAATTTGTTGGATGCCATGACAGGTCAGTGTAAGCTGGTCCTACAAAAATATCAATTAACAGTGATCAGCACCCGAGAAACAGATCTCCATACCAACCAAGAAGGATTTTTACACCTATTACTCATTTTTTTTCAGCACTCCTGTTCTTCAAATCCTACACTCTGCTTTAAGAAATCCAAAGAAAATTTTTATTTAAATGAGAATTACTTTGCTACCTGTGTTGATTTCTTTTAGTGAACTTCATAACTGTTTGGGCACTTCACATCTAACATATGAAATATAAAGTTAGAACTCTTTTAAGTAACAAACTACAGCTTTTGGTGCACATAGGACGCATACATATATATATATAATTATATAAACACATACACATGTATATTTAAAATTTTTGACTACAACACACTTAAAAGCAACTCAACCTGAGCCCTATTGTGGTTGCACAAAGTAAAGTGAACTTCAGACATCTTCTTTGGTTATCTGAAATAGGATCTAGATGGCTTAATTTGGGATCCTGAGTGAAGTGCATTCAGCTGCACAGCCCCTGACCCTGCCTCAGACCATTCCAAGGAACTCAGGAAGCATTAATTCATGCTGGAAATTAAACACACACTCCCCTGGGCTCAAGAAGAAATCTTCAACTAATGGCCAAAATTTTTTTTTTCAAACTGACAACAATTAATGTCAAAGCACTGAAGCTACTTGGGAAGTTCCTCATCCTCCACATAAACAGCAGCTAAACATTGACTTGTCAAAAGTACAAAATGAGGTTTAACTCACAGAAGTCTTTCCTGCCAACCCCTAGCACTACAACTTAAATGTTCCAAAATGCAGTCATTATGCCTGTTTAGCTTCAAACAAGTGCAAAACAAGACAAACACCCACTTTACAGCTACACAGCATAGCACAGGTAATCTTGATCTTAAGATTCAACAGTAATCCTGTTGAACTCAATAAACACTGGGCTTCCATTCCAAATATTCAAATGCTGAGACAGAAGGTTTCAAAATAACTGAGAAAACGTGAAAGTAGTGAGGGCACAATTCCATGTACTGGCTGAAGGAAAACTCCCAATTACTTACATGATTTTTTTCCTAAATGTCATATCAATATTCAAGCAGTAAGATACAAAAACCAGTAAAAGGATGGCAAACAGTGAGAAGTGAAATGGCTGTTACAGTAACCAGGTTAAAATGAGTTTGAACTGAGAAGCACTCTCCAAGTAACTACTGAAAATAAACTTTAATATAGTTAATAAAATGTTTCAACTCTGTCCTGAAAAAAGGTCTAAGTTAGAACTTTTATCAGCTGTACAGTAATAGTAAGCAGAAAGATACATAAAGCAAATTTGATTTTAAAATAACAGAATAAAGCAAACATAGAAGAGAAGCTGTAAGAAGAATCCCAGCAGGAGATGAAACTCAGAAATCACTGAAACAGCAGCTGCCAGAACCAGTTCAGAAGAGACGCTGAAGGGAAATGGCAGCCACCAAGTGAAAACCATCGGAGCTTCTCAGCTCCTCATAACATTGCTCCTGAAGAACAATATCTGGACCAGTAATGTCTTCCCATTAATCTTTACAGTAGGAATAATACGAAGAAGAGTTGCAACAAAACGTGCCAGAGTATCATCTCTTAACAAAATGCTCGTGTTCTCCTTGAGAACAGACAAAGCATGAATCAACTCACCCTGCCAGCATCTTTTTGTAACAATTCACCTTCCAGAATAACACAGTTGCAACAATACTGTTGTGAGAAGAACTGCTGGCAGACTGAAATCCCCTCCAAATCCAATTTACAAAATAACAGAGGAGAAACATTAAAAGGAAAAAGATAGCCCCCCAAAAAAAAAAAAAAAGGTAACTTTGGTTCAATTTGCTCTTCCTGGAGTTTGCCAACTACCTCATTCTTTGCACTGACCACATAGATAAGGGAAAGGAAATACAGAAGATACAATAAATGTAAGCAAACCCTCAGAAAACAAAATACACCTCACCTGTGAGCCATCAGGCAGGTCGCTGGAGTGACACAGATGAAAAAACACCCAATACTGAGACATCAGAAAATGAGCAAAAGCATCCAGCAATTGTACAAGAAAAAGCCAACTAGCCCCAAAATACTTTGCCAAAAACCCACCAAAATCACAGATCTTATTACACTTGCTACTGTTTGGCAACAAGGCTTTTTCATGGAATAACATTTCTCCTGCAAACCTCTAAAGGAAACTCTACCTAAGGAAATGTAGAGATAATAAAATAAGGCAGGAAAACTCCTCTCAGAAACTATATCCATTAAAAAAAATATATGTTCTTAAGTCTTGATGTGGTATTTGTAATATTTCAACATTTAAAGTTTTCATTGTGTGTATAAGAAAACATGATTCACAATTAAACACATAGGTTGCTTGTAGCTAGAGCGAGACACACTGAAAAAATAACGTGGTGGAATATATTTATTTCTTAAATTTGATGCCAAGTGGAATGGTGGACACTCAGGAGAAGGTAGTGTCTCGTGGCCTCCCAGAGAGCGAGTAGAAGGGTTCTCTGCCAGCTGAGGAACAGCATCTTACCTTAGCAAAGAAGTAGCTTCCCGTGGCGAGGGAATTTGGAGCTCAAAGGGAATGAGGAACTGAGAACTCGTACCAGACGCTTGATGATATGGCAGCAAACTGTTCACACACTGCCCATCTCTGGGTGCCTTTGCCTTGAGCGGGGACAGGTGGACACCTGAAAAAAATGGCACAAACAAGCACAAAAACGCTGATTAAAGAGGTCTGTAATCTGATATTAACTATTTTTGTAGCTAATTTTTGTAGTTCAAGATGAATTATCGCAACATAACAGAGGAGTTTCCTGAACTTTTCCGTAGTCCTCAGATATTGGGGTCATTCACTGTCTAGCACTCATCAGTTTTAGCAGATCCAAAGCTTGGGATGAGCAGTGGAATACTCAGCTATTCACACATCTAGTAAAGCATTTGAAGTCCTGAAGAGACATATCCCAGTTTTCACAATTTTGCCATTTCAGGATTTTTATGCCACCCGTTGCCAATTGCTCCACTTAACCCTTGGAAACTACTCTTCCAACAAGTCAGCATCTTTGCCCCTCATTGTTATCCACTCCTTCATTCATGAATTGGCCATTCACCTCTAAAGTTCAACAATTCAGTCTCAAAAACATTACCCACACACCACACCACTGCACAGGAGAGGAAGGAGAGGTTCTGAGGAACTGTGAGGGCTGTCACTGACAGGTGCTGGCTATTACCTTTTTGCACTGATGAATATCTTTTTTTTTTTTTTTTTTTAACTTTTGTGGGATAGCTGAGTGAACAATGGACAACGAAAAAAATTATCATAAAGTGAAAAAAAAAATCATGATGCTCCTTTCTGTGTGGAGATCAGGCATTAAATACTTGTCTTTTGGCTACAGTTATAAACTCTACAACTACAAACGAAACTGAAAACAAACATCCATTAGCATGCGAATGTAAAAGGAAATATTCTTGACAGCTGGGAGTATGGTGAGGAGAAGAGTGAATACAAGAAAACTATTCCTGCAGCCACAGGAGTGAATACAAGAAAAGCGAAGCAGAAGAGTGAAGAGCTAAGGAAACACTGAGGTCAGGGAACGAAGTGCTTTTGATCCTGTTTCAGCCAGGGCATCTTTGCCCGCCCACAGGAAAGATCAGACAGGTGCGCGCTCGTGTAACGCGGAGTGACTGCAAGAGGAGGTAAGCAAGGAAGAAAGTTTTGAGAGATATATACATATTTTTAAGAGCGGCCGGGCCGGGAAGAGGCGCGGTGGGCGGCGCAGGAGCGACCCCGCCGAGGCGGCGCCTGAGGGAGGCACGGCCGGGGCCAAAAGGCACAACACCGACTCTCCCCGAGCATCCCCTCATACGCTGAACTAAGGAGGAAAGAGAGCTTAGAGTCCGAGCCGCTGCCACTCCTGCAGGAGCCGGGCGGCTCAAGGCGGCCGTACCTCTCCCCTCACCGCGCCCGCCTCCCACCGCTCTCCTGCCCTACCCAAAATGGCCGCGCCCGTCACCACCGCCCGCCCCGCGCTGCCCGCACGCAAAATGGCCGCCAGGGGCTGAGGCGGGCCCGGGCCGCGAGTGACGCGGCGCTCGGCTAATGGCGGCCGGGGGGGGGTTGCGCGGCGGGAGCGGAACGTCCGGGTCGTGCTTCTTCTCCTTCTTCTTCTTCCTGTGAGGGCGCGTTTGAACGCGCCGGGGGCGGGTGAGTTTTCGCCTCCCCGGGAGGGCTCCTAGGCAGCGCCTTTCTTGCTCCCTCGCAAAGGGGAGAGAAGCCTCAGGTGCTCCGTGCCCGCGGTGTCCGTCCCGAGGGAGCCGCTGCCCCTCAGCCGCCCGCGCTTCAAGGTCGCTGGGACGCGAGGAAGGAGGAGGAGGGGATTGTGAGGGCTCCCCATCGTCACGAAGGGGTGGTTAGTAGGGCTTTTACACTTACCAGATGGATGGAGCCGGGGAGGAGTAGGGGCACCCTGAGTTGTAGCTTTGTAGCTGTTCAACCCAGTGAGATATGCTGGTATAAAACCTGGGCTTTCTTCTTGAAGTGGGTACTTCTTAATGGAGAGTAGTGTTTTCCACCTTCTTATGATATAAGGATTAAAATATTCTGTTTGTGCTGGTGCTGTTTTAGCTTCCGGATACCACAAGGTGGTCAGGCAGAGCCGCCACTCTGGTCAGAGTAAAGTGGGGTCAGAAGCATCACAGCTTGCTTTTCCTGCAAGTTAAAAGTTCTATATTTATTCTTTTATTAGCTCAGTTAGTCATTCAATTGTATTAACTACGGGGGGAGGAAAAAAAATAAAAAAAAAAAAGTGTATTTTAAAATTGCTTTAAGGCTTCAAATATTTACCATCTGAGCAGTAACGTTTGTAATTAGATAAAGCTTTGTTGCTTTGTTGTGTTTAAGATTTAGTATGCCAAAGCTCGAAGCAAGTGTAGCAATTAACATTTCAAAATGCCTGAATTGAGGTTATTTTTGCACCTTTTTTTTTTTTAAGTTCACAAAGTAAGACTTTCTTATGTTGTTTTGTGTGTTAGTCATCTGTTGCACTGTAATTAAAGGTATTAGTATTCAGCTTCATCTGTTCAGTGCTATTATTATAGGGTAAAAAAAAAAAAAAAAGGATTTCTAGAATATATTTAAAATAATAAATTATCTTTACCTAGGTAGATGCCAGTTTGCAATGGGTCTTAAAACCATCTGGAAGGACTACAAAGTTCTGATTGTTATGGGAACTGGCCTTGGGCTGGTACACTGGGGCTGGTTTTACATCAAGTCCAGTCCTATTTTCCAAATGAAGACAGAGGACTATGTTCCAGAACCTGGGATTGTGACATACATGATGCGAAGCGATCAAAAAAATAAAGAAAAATAGCATTAGTACTTTGTATTGTAGGTAAGTTACCTAATTAGTTGTATCTGTGCCTTAGAGGGAGGAGATGAGTCAGTTAAATGACAGTTTTCTGACAGATGCAGCCTTGCTGCTCTAACCTGAGTCTTCCAGAGTTTTATTCTTCCTTGCAACTGAGTTAATCTTGTAGCCACATGGCCCCAAAAAGTGCATGATAAAACTCAGAAAACTACTGCTAAATCTCATCTGATGGGATCAATTGAGTGATGGTATTATGTGTCTTTAAAAACAAATTCTAGTAACTTCAAGACAACAGTCCAGTTCTCATGACTGGAAGTGTAACAGTGGCCTTTCAGTCTCAAAACTGCCCAGAAACAATTATGACTTTTCCTAGGAATGTATTCTGTAGAGATAGTAATTACAGTGGAAAACTGAACAAAATTAAGTATGAGGGAAGTTTTAAGTGCTGTGGAGATTGCTTAGAAATGTAAATAAATATCCCTTTAAGTTTGAAAGTGTTTTAAGAACTGAAAAAATTTCCTGTTAAGCATTTTGTCGGGTTTCTCAAGTTGTTGGGACATCATTTGTTTCTGATGTGGTTGCCTGGCAAGCAGTGCTGAGTTCAGTTGTTTTGTTTTTGAATAAAAACAGATAAACATCACTGTTTTTACTATCACTGTAAACCATCACACGAAACTATCACTGTAGTTTTGACACTTTAGTGAGTGAAGTCTGTAATTGCCTGTTACTTATAGACCTTCAGGTAAAACAGTAGAGATTGGTGGTCAGAACTGAAGTTATTAACAATATAATATTCATATAACTGTTGTGCTGGTTTTTTCTCCTTTTTTTTTTACTGTATGCTTGTAGTAATGATCAGATTAATAGATTTTCTCGATTAAAAAGCATTCAGGTTCCCAGGTGGGCAAGGCCAATGGCACCTGGCTTGTATCAGGAATAGTGTAGCCAGCGGGACCAGGGAAGTGAATGTCCCCCTGTACTTGGCACTGGTGAGGGTCCACATCAAATTTTGGGTTCAGTTCTCAGCCCCTCCCACTTCAAAAAAGACATTGAGGTGCTGGAGATTGTCCAGAGAATGGCAATGGAGCTGGTGAAGGCTCTGGAACACAAGTCTGATGAGAAGTGACTGAGGGAGCTGAGGATGATTATCCTGGACAAAAGGAGGCTCGAGGCAACCTCATCACTCTTCACAACCCCCTGAAAGGAGGTTCTAGTGAGGTGGGAGTCAGTCTGCTGAGTAACAAGTGATAGGACAAGAGGAAATGGCCTCAAGTTGTGCCAGGGGAGTTTTAGATTGGGTATTAGGGAAGCTGTCTTCACAGAAAGGCTTGTCAAGCACAGGAACAGGCTGCCCAGGGAAGTGGCTGAGTCACCATACCTCACCTGGAGGTATTTAATAAATGTTTAGATGTGACACTTGGGGACGTGGTTCAGTGGTAGGCTTGGCAGTGCTGGAGGAACAGTTGGACTTAATCTTGAAGGTCTTTTCCAACCAAAATGATTCTGTGGTGCAGTATTTGTCCTTATATGACTTAGTGAAAAATAAAGTAGCAGTTCAAGCTATGCAGTATTGTCATAAAATTATCCTAATATCTTTTTGGTTTTAATTGTAGGTATAACTAACCCTGAAGCTTTTCATCTGTGACTGTTGCCAGAAAAGATGAAGAAAACTACCTGGAATAGAAAGAACTTGCTGCTTGTAGTAGGACTCTCAGTTATAGGTGTCCATTTGGGAAGCATGCTCGTAAACTTTGTTGCAAAAAAATCTGCTCAGTCACATTCAGAAGTCAAAAGAGATCGTCATGAGTGAAAATAGCTTCCTGCTGTCATTATGCATCAATGTTGCAACATGATTTAAGCCTCATTTTAAGAAAGACACAGTGACCAGTCACAGGAATGTTATTGTACTGTATGTACCATTTCACGCTGAAAATAATAATCCTTAGCTGCAAAGAGTTAAAATGTGTTACTTTTAAATTTTAAAAGTGCTATGAATTATAGATCCAAGTGCAAATGAATTGTTCTGTTGGCCAGAATTAAAATCTTACTTTGAAAATGTCTCGTCTTGAAGCTAAAAAGCCTCCGTTATTTACTAGCGAACCTTTAACTAGAGACACGGCCTGTCAGTCGCTGCTTCTGCTCAGCAGAATATTTAAATCTTCCTATGGTCCTGCTGGTCGACTCAAACAGCTCCACAACGGTGTGGGAGGCTTTGTTTGTACAACTTCCCAGTCCTCGGCTCTGCTGAGGCACCTTTCCGTCAGCAGTCCCGTGCTCCGTGTTCTGACGGCCTCTGTGCAGAACCACGGCTCGCGCTTCAGCGACTGCGGCTTATTTACCGCCATCCTTTGCTGTGACCTGATCGAAAGCTTCAGAAACCTGAATGTTGCATCTTGCACTGTCACTAAAATAACCAGGCACCTCCTGGGTTTGTGCATGGACTACCTGAAATCTGAGGCTTGTGGTTGCCGGGTGTCCGTGGATTTTAGCAGCGTTGAGACCCTGGCTTGTTTGGTACGTAGTGTTTTAACAAGCAAACCTGCTTGCATGCTTAATAAAGCAGAAGTTGAGCATCTCACCACGCTGGTTTTAAGGGCTTTTTTATTTACAGTTCCATGTCATGTTGAGACTAATGCTGTTTTAGGAAAGTGTGTAATAGTACCTGTGAAAGGTAGAAGAGTTATGGATTCTACAGTTCTTCCCGGACTGCTGATAGAAACACCAGAAATTCAGCTGGGAAAACCACTTGCTGTCAAAAGGACCGGTTCAAACATGATCAAGATTGCAGTTTTCTGTGTGTCCATGTCAGGAGATGGCTTCAGCCCTGAGGAAGGAACTATAGCAGTCCATCACGGAGTTTCTCTTGAAATGGCAGAGCTGAATCAATTGCTTAATGTAGGGAAGCAGCTGGTTAATGATGAGGTCAGCCTGGTAGTGTGCCAGAAAGTGATCCATCCATCCTTGAAACAGTTCCTGAAGGAGAACCGTGTCATGACTGTGGACAGAGCTGGGCTGTCCGTGATGGAACCCCTGAGCCGGATGACAGGTAACAGGCGAGTTTCTTTTACTGAACAGTTGTCTCCAAGTTCCCATCAGGAGATCAACACTATCTGGGGCGGTGTCATTGCACAGTAAGGGTTCTTATTTCTGTCTGGATCCTGCCTTAGCAGCTGAGCAGGAGTTGTTTTTTTCCAGTCTGAAAGCCGCTTCTTAAGGTGAGATTGATCTTTTGCAAGTTCTGGCAGTGGCACAACACACCTGTGATTACTGCTTGCTGCAAGAGGGTTATCCAGTTATAGTAAATGAGACAATTACTTCCTTACTTTTAATCTCAAACCATCACCACGTCTTGCACTTTGAACATGGCGGTTTCTGTTCGTGATTTCCTGTGTAGGTTGAAATGGCAGGTACTGAACGATAAATATATAATTTACAAAGCCAAGGGGGGAAAAGTTTGTGTTTTATGAAATGCAACAGATAACTCTTCTGACGATGGTGCTCTGCTTCTCATGGCTGGCAGGTTCAAAGCCTATAGCTTCCATACACCTGTTGCCTCCTGGTTGTTATGGCAGTTTGAAAGATGTCAGCATTGAGAGGGTTGCTTCAAAACATTTCGTGCATCTAATTCCTGAGGACACAGTTATCTGCAGCTTGATACTCTGTAACAGAAGTGAAACAGCCTGGGATGAGTTGAAGGTAGGTAAATTTTCCGGAAATCTG